TTCCAGCAGAAGCAAACTTGTTTTGCTTCCACGTGTTTTCTGAGATATACCGGAGCAGCCACACTGCGAACTTGAGTTTGGAGAACTCCTGGCTACCTTGAGTCGCAATTGAAGATCACCTTCCTCTTCCTACATTCTTATAGCGAAAATGTTTGAAGAGTTTTACACTTCACTAACAGTAATGTGCAGAATACAACACTGCAAACAAACAATCTTTTTTTTCTTCTTTTCTTTAATGCTGAGAGCTTGTTATCAAGACCACTAGTGTTGTTTGTAAATGCTCATTTGGTGTACTAACCTAAGCGGTAAAATATGGCACCTGCCAATGCCCTTTCGAAGTAAAATTCAGAAGAGCTTCGACGTTGTGTTTATGCAGTAGTGTCGTGCGGCGTACATTGTAGGAAGAAAGCTGAGAATATTTGGTGTGTGGTCAATTTAGCGGCTCACTGCGCCTAAAATCTCGTTAAACTAGTGTTGACGGTTTTTTAATGTTAAAAATTATATCACCTTTTCATCCACTGGATCAACCAGGATCAATCACACCAGAACTATAAAGCAACACAAATTTAAAACAATGTTTTTAAGTATTAATTTTCCAGCGCTTTCTTTCATCGAAAATTTCACCGCTGCCCTTAACAACAAACTTTCTTAAACCACTTTTTAATTGCTCACATTTATTTTCTCTGCATATTGCCATTGATCCCACTCCTGCATTGGCTCTCAATGGAAAGCCTCAGTATCGGCAAAAATAAATAAATAATAATCTGGAAAAATGTTTTAGTGTGGCGATCTGCCGAGGAATTTGGGCGGCTCAAAGGACTGCCACTCTAAGAAAACTCCTCTGTTCCCAGGAAAACAGTTAGAGATACCATGGACTATATCATTTCCTTGCTTGCGATTTTACTGGAGTGCGATGATGACGACAAGAGCATTTGGGCTCTCAAGCTGTAGAGAAGCGACGTAGCACAGACGGCATTGCTTTTTCTGCACGACGCAGGGAGTGGTAGACCCGGCCAAGGAGATAGAGCGCATGCAGCAGAAAGAGGAGAAGCTGCAAGCACAGCTGACGAAGCTGAGGGCGGCCATGGCGGCCTCAGACTACTCCACCAAGGTGCCCCCCGCTGTGCAGGCAGCCAACGACGAGAAGGTGAGCCTGGGGGGGTCCAATGAATTTGTTTTGTATGCTCTGTCAGGTCAGTGTACTTATTTCAGTTATCACGGTTGGGAGTATTTTTTCATTCATCCACCGGCTGATGTCGGCTGACGCAAAGCGGCGGAACGACTTGAGATTCGCAAAGGAATCAAGAGTTATCGATCGCTTCCAACGTGAAATGGCAGACAATCACATCTTCAGACTGCATCCGATGTCAACTTGCCATGGCACTCAGTTCCTAGCAGACGATGTAGTGTTTTCTTGTTTCGTTTACATCTGCAAGTGGCACTTCATGGCAGACAGACCCCGTTGTTTGCTCGCGTTAGCGGACAAACTGCCTAGTGATGAAATCTCAGCTTGATCCGTGAGAGGCATATTGGATCTTGCAATGATCCAAATCCAGCTCTAGAGGTGTTGCTGATGGTGACTGCAATCTCGGGAAGAAGTCATTAGGCCGCTCGTAATTGGACCGCACATTCTGTTCTTTCCTAATCTCCATTTGTGATTGACCTTGCTTTTGCTCTCGAAGTGCTGGGTTAAGTAGATACCGGGCAGCTTTGGCCACAACTATTTTTGGCAAATAACTTCTGACTCTGGTATCGAGCTACTGTACATAGGACGAAAGTTATCCTCGCAAGTGCTTCGGATAATTTTTATGCGTGTGACCCCTTCTCTGCCAATGAGGAGTTAATGGCAAAAGGAATGGTGCACTTTGGCTTTCCCATGTATATTTTACATGGGGCCATGTAAGGTGATGAATTAAGGAGTCACTTGGTGCAAAGCCTACCTTTGACTGTGCACATCATTCTTTTTGTTTGTTTTGCAGGTTCAGCAAGTTGAAGGAGAGCTAGCGAGGATTGTGGAGTCTATTTCTACCCTGAAGCTCATGGACTGAATACAATGCTTGGATCTCTACTCTGATAATATAAACTATAAATTTTTTAACCTTCGTTTTTGGTGACTTTCTTTCTCACATTGAATTCTGCTATTGTCTCATTCCTCTTTGAAGAGGTCACTGCCTGACATGGTTAAGATGGCCCATTGTGACATACCTAAATAGTAAAAAAAATGCCAACAAAATCGGCAAAATAAAAAACACTCCGGTTTGGCTTGCTGCCAGTTTTACACTTGGCGTCAACCATTTTGTGCTACGTTGTTAAGGCTAGCGTAGCTTCCACAGTCCTCCAACTCTATCAGAGTTAGTTGCGCGGGCACATACAAATGAAGCATCGTTCCCACACTTGCAACCGAGTACGACCAAGAGAGACAAGACTGGATTTTAAGCCTCTTGTGACGGTGGAAGACCAGATGCGCTGCTGCGGAGCAGGTTCTACGCCGTTGCAAGAGGCTTAAAAACCGGTCTTGTCTCTCTTGGTCGTACCCTGTTGCAAGTGTGCGAACGGCACTTGAGACGCGAGACAGAGTCACGTGCTCTCGCAAGAGTGCGGGGCTGCAGTACCATGGAAGCTATGCTAGCCCTGGCAATGTAGCGCACAAAGTAGTCGATGCCGAGTATAGTCGCAGATCTTTCTTCGCTTCATTTATTATGTTCTTTTTGTTTACCTGTGGTATGCAGTAGTATCACTGTTTTGTTTTTTTGAAAGGTGGTAGAAATGTGAGGTATTAAGTCTCCACTCCACCCGAGTGCATTTAATTTCTTGATTTTAATACTTGTATTAGCTTAAATGCATCCTGTGGGCAAGAAAGGAATTGCTTCAGTCCCAAGTTTTTCATGCAGTGCTGTGGTAGCGTCTTGTGGACCTCGCACATGTAGTATGCAAATGTCATAAAATTTTAAGTGTTAAGCATTTCAACATGATTTTTGAAACATCTTAGTCAACTAAGTGAAAAATAAATTAGTGCAATTATGACTTAAACATTATTATAGGATATTGGCCATGGAAAAGCGTACAGAACAAGTTTTGAACCTTGGGTGGTAGTTTAATTACAGCGATCAAACTACTGTAATCTAATTACTCAACATAATTTTTAATTTTGATTTATTACTTTTACCTAAAGGGGATTGTATCTTAACCACTACTTTAGTACTAATAAATGGAAAATTTTTCATTATATTCTGTTACACTGTTTGAAAATAATTTCATGATTGCACAGCTCATTTTTATGAAGTAGCTGTCGAAGAAAGAAGCCCACGATGTCTGTCATTTGTGCTTCCATCAGTTAATGGTGACTGGCTTCTGTAGAACAAAAGCTGCATCTGAGGATTGACTGCAGATGCAAACGAACCACAATCAAAATCACAGCTAGGATGTACTTTAGATCATTTTATTACAGCAGATGCCTTACTTACAGCATAAGTGCAGTCTTTTCTGTTGTCAGCATGGAAAGAAAAATAATAAGCAATTTAGATCATGGTATGTACACTGATTACCTTCTCATGATTTAAGAATTTTCGGTCTCAGCTCACTGTTTTCAGTGCCTGCAGAAATCAAACCAATAAAATACATAAAACAAACATTTTATTGTCGCTGCATGAGAATAAAAAAGTTAGAAAAGGTTGATTCCCTTAACTGGGAGCACATTGCAATATTCACTTTCATTTGATGCTGGGAACTTTAATTGGCACTGTATTAGTTGGCCACATTGTGTCCATTTAAAAATTCATGTAAGGTGAGAGGTGAACACGATAAAAATGGAAGAATGAAAATACATGGAGGCGTTGACTTTGTCTCGGCTAATGTGCAGAGCGCAAGTTCGTTTGCTTCTTGCACAGGAATTGTGATAATGTCAGAAAGCTAAACTCTTATTGGCTAATTGAAAAAAAAAAATAGTGGGTAGGCCTTAAAGCAACAGTGTTGATGCACATCCTTCTAATCAAAATCAACCAGCATTTGGCGTAGTCGTCACCGCAACCCCTGCGTAGACGGCAGATGACTTGCTCTCCGCACACCCTTTTTGTCTGAACTTATAACTGCAAAGATAGTCCCTGATATGTCCATTGTTTATTACACTGAAAAGTAATTTACTCAAGAATGCAAGTTAGGCCACTAAGAGTTAATTGTTTCCACTACGTTTTAAAAGTAATGTGTAATTGTAACGAATTACTGCTGAGAGGTAATTTGAAAAAGCTGAGCTATTTTTCAACGAAGTAACAGAAATCCAATTGCATTTCGAAAGCAATTTGCCAAGGTCTGGAACGCTCAAACGGCATCTGGCAAAATGCCCAGAATGAACGCATGCCCCTCACAAGCAATTTAATTAATATCAATGCTACCTCTTGTTTCCCGGTCAGCGGCAACGATGTGCGCGACCCTCGCCAACGGTCTGGTAACAACAAGCGGATAATAAACGCACCGCCCTCTCTTCCCACTTCAAACAACTCCTCCCCCTCCCCTCCCCCCCCCCCCCCCCCCGCCCCCTCCTTTCACCCAGTCTTCAAAACGACCAACTGGTACAGTGTTCAGGAATCAAAGAACGAATAAAAAGACTTCGAAACAAGGACAGACAGGAGTTCTTTCAACTCTTGAAAGAACTGGCTGCCTGTCCTTGTCCCTAAGTGTTTTTATTCTTGTATTTTTACCAACCCGCTCTTTGTTTCTTTGGTACAGTGTTCTAGTGAGATGTGCTGAACCCTATCTTAGTACATTTTCTCTTTTCGCAAGACTTTAGTGTGTGTCTTACTCAATGTGGGTTGCTTGTCTCCCTCAACGCACCCACAAAGCTCAAAACAACCAAAACCGAAACTAAAAAGAAAACGCGCAAGCGGGGGCGCTGCTAAACTGTCATATTTTATTTAAATTTAAACTTTTTAGACAGAAACAACGACGACAAAATACATTAAATGGGCTCCAGATTACAGAGTAACGACATGTATCGGACGGTTCTAGCCAACGTTGGTTCTAGCCATTTCGACCATTTTAACGGAACATATCTATGTTTGGAGCTAGCCATGTTAGTTACGGTTTATGTTCGTTGTCGTTTGGGATAAACCGTTGGCGGTGTAGTGAGTGGAAGCTTCTGTGTACGGAAAGATTGCACTAGTTCGTTTGGGGAATGAAACTCTCCGACTGGTTTCATTTTACGGTCGGTCTTTCGGGCTCCCTTGGGCCCCAGTTGCGCGTCAACGGTGCCAGAGGCCAGCGCTGCTACGTCGCCGTGAGGTAGGCTTCGCTGTCGCACACCGGAGCTCTCCCGCCTCCTCCGCTTTGCCGCTCTCTGATCTCCGCATCCTCTGCCGAGAACTTCCAAACATGGGCACGGACGGAAAAGGTCCAAATTGGGAAGTGTGCATCACCGCGCCTTCCCCTCTTCCGTCGGTGAAGTGAGGGTTCCTTTGGGTACGTACCACTCCGAGGTTCTGCAAACACCGCGCGCGCACTTTCTGCGCGGCTGTTGCAGCGCGAATTTAAATAGGTGCTGTCCATATTTGCGGCTTCCTGCGAGCGTCTTTGTCCTTTGGCGGAACTTGGAATCTTCAGCTCGGACTACAGTGTAGTAAGAAAGCGTGATTGGGGTGGGGCTTGTTTCAGTTGAGCCAGGCGCGCGCGCGCGCTGGAATGAGACGATCGAGCGCACGCGCGCGCGTGTTAAAATCTGCGCATATCGCGCACGCAAAACCTCTCTGAATAATTAATTTTCGAAGGGTCACTGGCCGCGGCCTGATCCACCTCTCCCGTTTTGTAACGGCGATGGTCTAGCTCGTAGTTGTTGCGTGTTTTCTACTGCACGCGCGTACGTCCCGACACAATCCATCTGATATATTTCACTTCGATGGATTGCCCTTTAGGCTGCCGGACCACTGAAATGAACCCATGGCCAGCCAAACGTGGAGTCCCCTGCATCCGAGCCCGGGGTTCCTGTTGAAGTGCGGCAAGGAACACGAAAAGCTCAAACTGAAAATCAGAAGCGAGCTGCAAGCGCACATGCTCAAGTAAGTGCATGAACTGCTACAGAGTGAGTCGATCAAAGGGATCGATGGCTGTTTGAACAGACGGCATAAATCGGTTTCTAAACGTATCAAGCCAAACTTTTGCACAGAGGTGGCCGACAAACGTGCATTAAGCGTATAAAAATTTCACTGACGAGCAAACTTACCCGAGTAAAAAGGCTATAGAAATTAATCCCTATACCCATGGCAGCTTTTTGCTAATCAAAGGTGTATGATTGGTGCAACAGTTGACAGATGTCAGCAGTGCTCCCCGCTTTGACAGGGGAGGGGGGCGGGGAGGTTGCCGCAAATGTGGTACCGCATTTTTTAGTGTTAGCTTCGGTGATATACACCCCTTTTGTCAGTGGCTTGTTTTGGATGTTTCTTTCCTCATTGAGGTGCCTCACACAGCGTGGGAAGGCCCATAGATTGCCGCTGAAACTCCGCCCAAAAACATAGGCGGACCTCTTTCGTCCTTTGGCACCGAGCATGGTGAAGATGAGTTGCAACCCAAAAAAGCATGAACAAAAGTTGCAGAGAAGAAAAGAGACACGGTAGCAACCAGTGAGTGCCAAGTAGACGACGACATATAACTGAAAATAATTGTACAAAAAAAAAACACACGAAAACACATCTGTATTGTTGTGTTCGTTTTATCTTTGTGTGTTTATGTTTTATTGATAGGATAAAATAATTGTGTGCTGACTATTCGCGCAGAAAGAGTGAAATGCCTCTGGCTCAGAAAGTCGGAGCCATCTAGTGGCAGTCGAAAAAGTTCTAATGTTGCCGCTTTAATGGCAGTGATCGGGGAACGAGCTTGCCTAAATCAAGCACAACGAACGTTGTAAATCAAAGCCGACATAAGAGAACCAACTTGGTAGAATACATTCCTTGCTTTCTGCCCTACGTTTTTGAAGACGTTCGCTTTTCCTGGTGCGGAGAAGCTCTGCTGTGCCACTTAGAGTGTCGGATTTGGCTCTGGACACTGGACAGGGTGGCTAGACTGGAGGAGGAGGAGGGGCATACCCTGCTCTCCTGCTCCCTTGCCATTTAAAAGGAAATTTTCTGTAAACCTCCCCCTCCCCTTTCACACTTTCCTCCTCCTCCTCCTTTGGGACGTCACCCGTGACCCTCATGACGTCGCACGTGATGTGACGTGTGACGTCACAAGAGAGGAGGAGGAGGAGGAATGGACGTCACGTGTGACGTCATTATGGGAAACGTCCCATAATGCAACACGCAGTTACTGCTACCGCGGCGCCGCTCAAGCCGAAAAGGGGCGTCTAAGAGCTGCGCTCTAAAAAATGTGTGCCCTAAAACATCTAATTAAAACGGAAATTAGTGCATTTTTGTTAATTAGTCATCTTTTAGTTGCATTCTCTCTCGAACATAATGTCCGCCTGGCCGTATACTGTAAACAATTTAATTTTCGCGAATTTCGTAAATCACCTACTATTTCTGAAAAATAGGTCCCGCGAACAATTCTGGTAAAATGTAAACACATTGGAATCTACATTGAGATTCCACCGTGCCGCAAAAATTACAACCCGCAAATTCTTTCAAAACTTTGCTTTGACCTAAATCGCAAAATATTGAGCCCGCAAAAAATTAGTCGTTTACAATGACTCACTTACAGAGACTGCAGCCACAAAAGCTACAGAGACTGTAGCTTTCATGGCTGTTCGTTGAAAAACCTGTATTCTCTAAAAGGAAACACTCTGTATATGTTGTAGGTTAAGAATAGCAAGTCCCCCCAATGAAGCTATCCGCTTGGGTTGGGGGCTTCATCCTCTCCAATGTTTGCTCTACTCAAGTGTCGAAAGGGGATAGCTTAGTGGGAAAAGCTTATTCTGATGTTCTTTAGCTGCAACAGACTATAAGGTATCTTTGGGATTTTCCTACCAAGGAATCCTCTAACGTACGTCAGTCTCCAACAGAGGGCACCAGTTCTTCCGAAAGTGGCGGATTAACAGCTGCTGCGGCTCCAGCTTGGTATTTGTGTGCCTTGACTGTGCAGCCTGTTCGAAGAGGGCCTGTTCTCGGACGTGACCATTGAGTCCCAGAGTGCCGAGGACGGGGCCGGGGCCGTCCTCAGGGCCCACAAGGCCGTCCTGCTGGTGAGGGTGCCGGCCTTTTGGAAGGAGCTCACCACAACCTACGCTGCGTCGAAGGAGGACCCCAATGCCTTCGCGGTTGGCCTGCACGAGGGCTGTCTCAGGAGCTTCTTGAGGTTCGCACAATCTTTGCTTTGACTCCTATATATCGAAGGTACTTCCTCAGATGCACTTCTTTAAACTGCTCAAAGGCTGATTTTATATGTTTGTCTTTTAGGGGCGAAGCTCCTTAGGGTCTAGCCTTGTCTGTCCGGCGTCCGTGCTCACATCGATTGCCATCCCATCTGTCTTCTTAAAAAAAGAAAAAATTTTTGCACAGTCGACAGGATTCGAACCTGCCAATGGATTTCTAGTCCATTGCCTTAACTACTCGGCCACGACTGTGGGACGAGTAGGGGGCTCTGAGATGTGGTAGTAACTCAAGACCTGGGGATGTCGTGGATGAAACGTTGCATGTAGCCGCTCAATGTTTATAGACGAGAGTGTGCTGCAGTCAAATGCTCAAATGCGTATATAACCACATTCCATACACATTCTCTTTCTGACATGGACCGTTGACTTAAGCGGTGGAGATATGTTCCCACAGCTACTAGTGGATCCAAGCTGATCCGCTAGAAGAACCACTGGCTCTGCATTTCACCGACCATAAAGCAGTAATAATGAAGTCGAAACGCAACTCCGGAACTCAGCACTACCTATGAGCTATAAAAAAAAATCAGCACCATCACCACTACCTATGAACAAAATCAGTATCATCAGCACCACCAGAGCTTTGCCCCAGTCAACATCATTCACTACGTGGAGATGCGGTCATTTTTATTCCTCTAATACATACATAACTTGTGAGACTATGGATGAATCGACAGGTTTATTACACTTAAAGAAGACAGACTACGATGATGTCTTTTGTAAAAAGAATGATCAGCGTGCGGGCGAGCTGGTGCGTATGAATTGGGATGTTCAAACCCTGACACTGGGAAGGAAAGTTGAAGATGTATTAGAAGAGACAGAGGAAAGGTGACAGACAAGCATGTTCAAATAGTCTTTAAGACTGTTTGAAAGTAGAGTTTCGCCGACGAGAGATGCATGAGCCTCTTTAGTACGAGCCCCACTTTTATCTTTCTTGGATGTGTTCTCAAGTTGGGTTACGAGAAACACGGGGGGTTTTCCCAAAAAACCCTCGGTGCTTCCTCGGGCTTTTCTTTGGCCATCCCTGCCTCTAACTAAACTTTTCTTTCAATTTATTTAACATTTTAGATCTGAGCCCTCAGTTGATGCTTAGCTAATGTGGCTAACGTTCTGCGACAGTAGCCTGTGCTTAGTGGTGAGCACCATTGACATCGTCATCAATTCTTTCTAGTTGAAGAAGACGTCGAGCCGCCATTCCGAAATCCTATTAAAACTCATTTACTCAAACAACTGAGTCGTCAGACTGCACGAATGAGTCGATAGACATCACCTAGTGTCAGAGGATCTAGATGTCACAAGAAAATGGACTCCGTCCGCCGAAATCGCTGGATACAAGTACCAACAACTGCACCACGTCAGAAGACTGGCTGTAGACGTAGCAGCTAGTGGCACAAAACTGCCGTACAATGCCAAAAGAAGCCACCCGGGGTGCAAGCAGCAACCTTTATGTCGGTCATCGGAACCGAGGCTCAGAAAATCTACCGAATGTTTCAGTTAACGGACAAAGAAAAGAAGGATGTGAACATCATCAAAGCAAAGTTCACGGCACACTTTACGCCGCACGGCAACCATGCCTACAACAGGTATTAATTTAACCAGATAATAAAGGAAGAAGGAGGATCTTTCACGTACTACGTGACTGCCGCACAACTACAAGTGAACCGATGCAATTTTGGTCCACTTCCGAGATTCAATCATCTATGAGAAACTTTTACGAGATTGAATCATCGTCGGCAACTGAGTCGTCGAACTACGCGAGTGAGTCGACAGGCGCCACACATTCCCTACATCTGTGTTACTCTTTGCAAGGTCTATATGCTTCTGCAATGCTTTATTGCGTCTATAGTGAGATCCAATGATGTCATTGCTGTGCCATTTGTGCCAAACTGTACTCGTGCTTACCGTGCAATATTCTGCTACATTTCACCAAAATAAGGAACTTGTGCCAACATTGCGGCAGTGGCTCTCTTGAGTCAAATAAAGATGATGATGATTAGTATTATTATATCTTCCTCTCAACTACAAATTCAATTGTGTAAAAAAATTGCAGGTTTAAGGAAAAAAATTAACATCATTACAGATTTAATTTTAGGATGCAGTTAGAGTGACCAGTTATAACTATAGTAAGGTAAAGCTCAAGAAGGTAGGACGGCGAGGAAAAGGAAGGCCGCGGAGGAGGAAACAGATGGAACGCTGGAGAGGAGAAAGGGAACCTCCTCCTCTCTCTAGCATACCGTCTGCTTCCTCCTCCCTGTCCATCCTTTTCCTTGCCCTACCTCCTTGAGTTACAACGGACTATAGTTCTTGTGTCTCAATGCAGCTAAAAGTGAGTGCCTGTATTAAGGAGAACAAAGCAGAACCATCCCGTCTTTATTCATGCTCTGTCCAAGGGCCCAATGTGCTCACTGTTTCGATCTCTGCATCTGCAGGAGCGTCTACTCAGACGACGACATCCGGCGACAAGAGCACGACATTCTCCGCGCCCTCCGCTCCCGGAATGCTCCTTCGAGCGGCGACGAGGACGGCGAAGACTCCCACAGCACGACGCATGATGCCGGGGACGAGCACCCGCACGAGGAGCCCCCACCCGAAGCGACTGAGGTCGCAAACTTCTCCGTGTCGCTCGAGCAGCGCGGAGCCGAAGATTCCCTCGAAAACTTCCGCTCCTGCTTCGTCGATGACGACGTGTGTCAGAAGGAACCAGGCGCGGCTCACGGCGATGAGGAACCGACAGACAGCCTCCACGAAGGATGCAGAGACGATGCATCCGAGAACAGAGACGAGCTCTCGGTGAGCATGAGCAGCAGCATGGTCCGCAGCGGAACGTTCGACCTGCAGAGTCAGATGCCGCTCGAGATGGCGCTCGAGAAGCTGACTGCGGACAACGAGGCAGACGGCAGCGAAACTGCGCCGAGAACGGAGGCGGAAGGAGCCGAGGAGCGGGAGGTACCCGGCGATAGCAGAGACTCCACTGGGATTCGACCGTCCGATGGCTCGGCTAAAGGGCACCCGGCAACGATGCCCGCCTTCTTCCTGCACGAGAAGTCGACGGCTGCGATGGCGGTTTCTTACCAGTGCGCCCCCAGGACACCCGAACGGGGCACGAGCCAGCTGTGGGGACGGGAAGCAGGCGTTGTTGGGATGGGGGACTCGGGGTTTCTCTCTCAGAACACTTCCGTGAACGAGTGCGTGGCATATGACAGCCTCAACGATCCGGGAGGGCCAACCGAAGTCCAAGAGGCAGAGAGCGAGCCAGAAGACTTGGACGCGCAGGGAAGACGGCCCTCAGGAGCGCTCTTCCCCTTTTACATTGACATGAGCAAGGCGAGAGCGGAGGAAATGCAACGGGAGCAACCGTCGTCAAGCTCGGCCACGTCGTCCGTCTACATGTACATCGACGCCAAGAGCGGCGAGGACGCACCGGGCGAGGAAAAGCCGGCCTTCAAGGAGAAGTCCGTCGAGGACGCTTCGAAGCGGCCCCAGTCGTGCTACATGTACGTCGACTTCAACTCCGTGCACAGGGAGGAACCATGCAGCGAGCCCACGCAGTCTCCTCGAATGCCAAGGACTCTCTCCCTCTCCATGTTCATCGACATCAACGACGAGCACAGCGAGAGCGTCACGAATGCGCAGGAAGCCTACCGCAACTACAGGCAAGAACCGGGGCAGAAGAAGGACGTCGCGGACATACAAGGCGGTCTCGTCGGACGACGCCTGCGCCAGTGGGAACATTTCGAGCGGGAGGAAATCCTAGTCGTGTCGGAAGAGTTTCCGGTGCGACGGGAAACTCCCAACACGGTTGCGCCTGCGAACGACGACCGCTTTGTCGGCGCGTCGCCTAAGAGGCTCCCCGAACACGTCGCGAGGCAGCAGGGTGCGGCTCCCGACGTCTGTCTGCTCCCGATGAGCCCCATCCTTAGACGGAAGACGAAACCGGAGCTGGTCAAACCCATCGCGAAGCCGGCCGCCATCAAGTCTTCCACCCGGCCGCAGGACATCGACGCCATGACCTTCCGCAGGAGCGAACCGTCCGGGCATGACAGCGACTCTCTCGAGCACGACAGCGACAAGGAGGTGGACGCGCCTAAGACGCCAGAGGCCAAGAAGTCGCCTTCCACGCCGGCGCAACGGCATTCAGACGAACCGAGGCTACAACCGCCCAAGCCTCTCAAGTTACCTGATTGTCCGGTGCCTTCGGCGGAAGTGATCCACCAGCCGCCTCCTCCGTCTCCCGGGTACGGAGACGACGATTCGGAGACGGTGTACTCGGAGGTTTCGGATGTGAGCTGCCTGTCAAGTCTGGACCGGAGGATGCAAGAATCCGGCTCCAGCCCCGAGCGTCTGGGGGCATGCTCCAAGCTGGGGGATGACCTGCTTCGAATGTTTGTGGGGCAGGTGGAGACCGACATTTTTGTTCGAGTGGAAGGGAAGGACATTGGTGCACACAGGTGAGCATCTTGCTAGCTCTACTTGCTACCGTTTTCTAGACTTAAAGGGGCACTGACACCCCAAAGGTCGTATTCTTTTTTATTGTCCAAAACGATGCAAATAGTAGTCATAGACACGCAAAAAAAAAAACGCATAGCGAAAAAAAATTTCCTTGCGCGCGCGCACGCCTTTTTATTTTTGGCGTTTGATTCTCCCGCACTAACCTCCTTGCTTCTTTTGATCGGTGACGTCAAAAATCAGGAAATTTAGAAGCTTTGTAGGCGACATTTCTATAACATTTAATAACGGCAATCGTAAAACATGTTTTTTAATGCAATGACGAACGCACTACGGCCTTTCTTTTTGAAATACCAAAAATAAGATTTCGGTGTGATGTCGCTTCCTGAATTTGTGCTCTCCCTCGGAAACCTTGGCGGCGCTCGAGCAGAGGCTTATCGCCGAGTCGGGGAAGAAACCGGTTTTTCCCCGCGCCGGCTCCCTTCTATCCCGCCTGCTCACCTCCTCCTCTCTTCGGGTTGCGGTAGCAACGGCGCTTTGCTTCACAGCGTGGTGCGGAGGTCCGAAAGAAAGTCGAGTCGCAGGAGACCGCAAAATTTGACTCACTGCGCTGGCGCGGATCGCGCGGGAACTTCAAATTCGGCATTTGGAAATTGTCTTTTTAATTCACAAATACTGAATTCCCAAGTTTCGAATTTTGAGGGTAATGTCCCGGCATCATTTTCAATCGTTTCGGATAATAAAATAAATTACGATTTTGATGTGTCAGTGCCCCTTTAAGGGGTTATATTGCTTATGGCGTAAGGTTGCAGTCTGTTCAAGAATGTAGGTTCTTCTTTCACCGACGTAAAGATGCAATTTGAATGGTGCTGTCTGCCTGAAAACCTATAGGATCTTTTGTGCATCAAATTTTGGGGAATGTAAGTAATGCTGCTGGTGCAATGTTTGCCCAGTTTGCAACTTGCAAAGGTTGCGTGCAATTAGCCTCATTTAAGGGGGGACACTACCATGAATTGCACCTGTCTTTCCAAAAAAATGCATACTCAGAACTGCAGAGTTTTGGCATGTATGGACAACAAGAAACACTCTCGCAAAGTCTTGTCAATATGCACTGACAAACAATGTCAAAAGTAATTATTCTTTATATTTTGGTGAGGCGTGCTGCACTGCGTAGCACTCGTCATCCACAAGTGAAAATAGCTGAAAGCAATGTCAGTATATCGAAAGAAGTTTGAGGAAAACCACCTACACTGCTGGAAAGAAAGTTTTAAAACGTCATCTTGAAACTTCAAGTGCATTTATCTCAGCATCATTTTTTGGCATCAAATCCCACCTTAATAAAACTATTGTTTCAGTATGAAACTACCGAGAGACTTAATATTTGCGGATTATACGCCAAAATTTTATCGAGCCAGTTACTATGATCTTAGAGGTTGCATTTTCATGTTTCTTTATTATGAATAAATGTAATTTGCAAAACTTGGCAAATGTAAAAAATATATACCGTAATATCCCGAGTCATCGCCCACCCCCCTACCGCCTGAAATTCATTAAAAAAGTGGGGTGGGCCATGTCTCGGTGGGCGAGCACAAACACTTGAAAAAAAGCGGAAAAAACCGCCTACTCTTCTCTGCGTATCTAGCGCTGATGCACAAGAGATACATCAAACTCAAAACTCGATTTAGTTTCATTGTTATATAGAAAAAAATGCTCACGAAAGAATATTTTACTATAGCAAAGTCCGTTGCTTGCCAACGCGCTAGAAACACCGCCGATCTGCATATAGCGCGAACGTTTGTTCCATGAAAGAATGTCACCACTATGTTCTCCTAGTTAGTAAAAAAAAAAAAGAAAGAAAAGTCTACAAGAAAATAGAAAAACCGACCAGGCACAACGAGCGAGCGAGCGAGCGAGCGAACCAAAGAAGCGACCAAGAGCAATGCTGGGAAAGCGGGAAAGCCGGCGGTCGCGTTGGCAAATACTTTGGCGTCGGGCCAAGTCGGGCGCCTTGTCAATCGCAAGCTCCTGCGTAACTTTCTTGTTTGGTGCGTACATACGTGCGTCCGTGCACGGCGGGCTATCAATGCACGGTTGGGACGCTCTGCAAACATCTGTGTAGGGCGTTTCAGTAAAGCTTTATTTACGCGTTGGCTTTGCCTAAAATATTGCACAACCGCGGTCGCGACGGGCGGGAAGAAGGAGCGGGTTCGCGGTGACCTTACTTCGGCGGAGACAGACTTTGACCTAACACTCCGCGGTTACATTAACAAACTCTTATTTTGTTATCTCCGTCGTTTTCTTTTTGCACGGATGCACAACCACTTTGGGGTTGCTCACGGAGGAAATGCGTAAACAAAAAGAAGTGTCTTTCCCTCCTTCGTTTTACTTTGTCACGGACGTCCTCCAACTGTAAGGTCCGCGGCCGCGTCATTCGGGTAGGATGAGTGTTCGCGGATCGCAGAGTCCGCGCTGGGGTATTTGAAGGGGTGGGCGATGACTCGGTGTTTTTTCGGAAATCAATATTGGCCCAAAAAATGGGGTGGGCGATGACTCGGGATATTACGGTATATATATTTCATAAATTGTTTTTTTTACCTGAAAAATGCATATATTCTGAAATTCCTTTTCATAGCAATGGACAAGTATTCCAGTATGCATTCCACTGAAAAAATATGTGGTGATCAAGACCGTTTCTCATTGATAGATTCATTGAGCAGATTCCATGCAAAGGTATGCTTTACTTCGTTTGGGGGGTTATAGAACCTCATAAAATTGGTTCACAGGGCTGAAACTTTGCATGTGCTCCTTCTATATGGCTACAGACACCACCTGCGAATTTCACGCCGATTGAGTGAGTGGTTCAAAATTAGACATGCTCAGGTAGTGTCCCCCCTTAAAGGGACACTGACAGGGTGTTTATGCCCGCCGAGGTTTTTAGTTGTACATGACATATGAGAGCCCAACTACCCAGAACACAATTTGCGACTCGAAATTCGGTTTCTTTCCGCCCGAAAACTGCCGATCAAGAACTGGCCGGTTCGAGTCTCGCTCACTCTCTTTTCCATGGTCACGGGCCGTTTTCTAAGGTATCGAAGCGACCACCAAATTTAATCCAAGTCGTTGGTCACTGAAGGCAGACACTCAATATTAAAAATAGAAAAAAATATGAAACCCATTTTTTGTGGCTTCTAAAAAGCTGCAAATACGTTGATTGGAAAAAAAGTTGCACAGAGAACCGGAAGCATTCTGTGCGTGCGTCGTTTCGCGTATCGTGGGACTCGCGGGGACGGCGATGGCAGCGGACGACGGGCGTTGGACCTCTACTTCAGAACTGTCGTTCGCGGTACCGGCGAATTCTGTCTGCCTTTACAAGAGAAATTTGGGACTGATCAAAAGAATTGGTATTCATCCCCTACAATACGCCCGACCACCAAGCCGATTTGCACGAAGACGTCGCCGAGCCGTCGCTCCCTTCTCGTGGCTGAAGACATCGCTCGCGCAAACGTCAAGCACGACGGGTCTACTTCGGGTTGAATATGCACGCGTACGATTTCTTTACTATGTCGCCAATACGTGGTGCTTCCCGATTTCGACCCGGGAGTGCTTTTGCTGGATGAAAATCGGCAGCAATCTTTCCAACTTACAGTTTACCGGCTGCATTGTTACTAAGGGAAGAAATCACCCAACAAAAAGATGTCCGAGTAGCTCAGTCGGAAAGACGTTCGCTTCACACGCGGTAGGACCGGGATCGATCCCCAACGAAACTTTTTTTTTCAAACATTTTTTTATGTTTACATTTCTTCTTTTTTTTTATATATATCACTGAAGAAACAAACAAGAAAATAACAAACAAATGTTGTGGACGACACGTCGCTGAATTAAATGGTATGGGATCTCCTTTTTGACACCTGCGAACTCAATGTAATCACTTTCCACAAAATGCAAGAGGCATATAAATCAGGTAGCGTCCGCTTTCCGAGGTGCCTATAAATGCTCTACAGGAATTGCAGCCAGCCATTGGTCCCGATCCCGTTGATCTTTCGGAAAGTCTGCCGCACAATGCCACTTTTTTTCGGACGCAGGACATGTGAGCCAGCTCTTCACGCAACATCTTGGTTGTATTCTTTTCGGAGCCGATCATGGAAATTCACCACGGGGACTCACTACTCATCTCCAACTCCTCAATGTACAAAACAACTCATCTTGGACTACAGAACAGCGAGCGGAACAAACATAACTTTAAAAGAATCGCGCTGCAAACAGTTCCCGCTACGCCGCGGGTCGTCTGCTACAAAAAGGAGAAGGAAGGAAAAAAAAAAAAAATTGCACGGTCGGGTGTAGCCACGTGACTTCCGCCACTCCACTCTCTTCTCTCCACTTCTCCGACCTCCGTCGGGTTTCGGTTTCGGTTTCGAGCAGTTGCGCCTTTTGGATTTATTAAAAAAATATGCTACTCTGTTGCAAAATATTAATTGGGTAGTCCTCCGACACCTTTATGAAGCACCTGGCGAAAAATGAAAAAAATATTTTGGGGGGTGTCAGTGTCCCTTTAAAGGGACACTGACAGGGTATTTATGCTCGCCGAGGTTTTTAGTTGTATGTGACATATGAGAGCTCAACTACCCAGAACAGAATTTGCGGCTCGAAATTTGGTTTCTTTCCGCTTGAAAACCGCCGATCAAGAACTGGCCGGTTCGAGTCTCGCTCACTCTCTTTTCCGCGGTCACGGGCCGTTTTCTAAGGTATCGATGCGACCACCAAATTTAATCAAAGTCGTGGGTCACTGAAGGCACACACTCAATATTAAAAATAGAAAAAAATATGAAACCCATTTTTTGTGGCTTCTAAAAAGCTGCAAATACGTTGATTGAAAAAAAAGTTTCACAGACAACCGGAAGCATTCTGTGCGTGCGTCGTTTCGCGTATCGTGGGACTTGCAGGGACGCGATGGCAGCGGACGACGGGCGTGGGACCTCTATTTCAGAACTGTCGTTCGCGGTAC